GTGAATGTATGGGGTAGGGGTTGTAACTTATAAAACTTTTATACTCTATGTTCAAGGACCACCTCCTGGGAAAATACAAGAAGTAACAGAGAAGTTATGAAAAGGAAAGGAACATATTGAACATCTTAAAATTGCAAAATACAACAATTGAAAGGGGAACACACTGTGTAACAAATTTTCAGGTCCTGTGAAACTTCATTGTCTGGGCCAATGACAGTGAGATACAAATTAATTGCCCTTATGCCTTATACGAGCAAAGTTTACTTAATATCTACCAATGAAGACTAGAACCATTTAGAAAAATGGGCACAAGAAAAAGGAGCTAATATAGGATGAATAGGGACAGCAAATAAAAAGCAAATCCATCGTCCCTTCATTGGTTGAACCAGCTCTTTATGAAGAAATTGCCAGCGTGGGGTATGTATTAAGTCGTATTGGGTATATCAGAAGTCTTAATTAATTTTCTAAGGGATGCTAATAATAAACAGGAATCTGCCATAAAAATTGAACTTGGAGGAACAGAGATGTTCATGTTAGGGAGTGAAATGAAACAAAGATGCATGCAGTCCCCATATCTATTTAACTTAAACAGTGACTAGAGTATAAGAAAATGCAGGATTGGAAAAGGTCATCATGTGAATAAACATCAGAGGCTGAAACACGAACAATTTGAGAAAATCGGGCTGCACCACTATGTAGCAGTGAAGATTTAAAGTAAGAACATGACAAGTTAAAAAACGGGATTGATGTAGATTTTGAAATTAAGGAAAAACTTCCTAACGGTGAAGATAACTAACCACTGGAACAATTTGCCTTCAGAAGTTGTAGGTGTTTCATCACTGGAGGTTTTTAATAAAAGACTGGACAGCCACCTGTCTGAAATGGTATAGGGTCTCCTGCCCAAGCAGGACGTTGGACTAGAAAAACTCCAAGGTCCCTTCCAGTTCTATTCTGATTGATTGAAGTAGACAAAGGCAACATCAGTCTGCACTCTTCATTGATGGCCAAAAGTGAAGATTATATATAACCATGCTTTAATGCTCTCATAGATAAAGAGAGTCATTGATATGTAATTCTACAGAGGACAGCAGGACTATGAAGGATAACAATATATAAAAATAGGGCTTTTTCTAGTGATAGTGATCGTAGTAGGTCATGAAAGTTGGATTCTTAGAAAGAGGAAGAGAAAGAAGATAGAGCTTATAGATTTGGAACCAATTATCAAGAGTACCATGGATTTTAAAAGGATGTAATCAGTCATGGATGAAATAAAGATTAGTTCCTTGATGTGATCATCAGCGAGGAGTAACCCACATACTTGGGGAATGTGTGATGAGCAGGTAATGGACTAAAAAATATTATACTTAACAAAATGAAGTGAAAAGTAATGGATAAACTAGGTCAGTGTTTCCCAACCTGAGTAACTTTAAGATGGGTGGACTTCAACTCCCAGAATTCCCTAGCTGGCAAGCTGACTGGGGAGTTGAAGTCCACCTATCTTAAAGTTGCTTAGATTACAAAATGCTGAACTAGCTAGAACAAGCTAAAAGATTTTTGGAAATGTTGATGCTGCAGACTGTTGAGAAGGGCCTGCATTTTCTCATTTACTGTTATTATCAGCCACCAGGCTCAAGTTTAAGGCCTTTAACTGTGATTACAGCTGGAGAAGGAGATTTCCACTTGATGGCCATTTTGTATTACCTATAGAATAACTTTAAAAAACCCAGTCCAAAATTGGTATAACCAATGTGTATAACACAAAACGTTGAAAGCATTAAAGACAACATTTCTAGGACAAACTTGATTTGGAGCAGCCTTTTTAAAAGGTTCACTATAGAAAATTCTGGTGCCAATCAAATTTATTTGTTTCCATGCAATAGTTGGGATCCCCGAAAATCAGTGGGGAAAATAGTATGTTCAGCCAGATTTGTTTTGTTTTTAATTTCAATGTAGAATTTGTTTCTTTTTTTGCACATGGGAATTGTTTCTTTGCATCACCATTTATTGTTGGTCCTTCCCTCCCATGTGCCGTTTCAAGCAAAATGCAGAATTTATAATGTCTCTCCAGTGTCAGTTACTAATTTTTTTTTAACATAGGGACAGGAAAACTGATGCAATTAAAGAAGAAAAGAAACCAAGCTTGCAAAGTGGTGACTACTCTGGAATAATTATAAAGTGCATAAACTCAGATTAATAATTTGGTATATGATTCTGTCTAGACTGGCTTTCGGAATGAAGTTGAAACTAATTTCTTAATGCCGTAGTATGACAGATAATATATAAATATAGCAAGATAGATAGGAGTTTCGCTTCTCTTAAACTGGGCAGATGGTACTTAAATCATTTTGTTTCATATGAGATGGATAATATGTGAATATTTTTTTACTGTCTTTGCTGGAATATGTCTGCTATAACCAGCTGTCCTCAGTGAGCACTGTTTATGTCTTCAAATGTTTGTTTCCTGTTAGCATAGTAACAATGCTTAGGGAAAGTATTTCTAGATATCAATACCACGTGAAAATTTCATTTTACTAGGTTATTGTTTTGTGGCTATGTCTGTGGCATCTTCTGAAGTAGTGAGACTGGCCTAAAATGTGTAGGTGTAACCTAATGTCACCTTAATTAAATCACAATATATTCAAAGGGAAAAATCAATCAAATCTTAATTGCAGAAAAATAAGAACTGCATCAGTTGAAACTAAAGATGAGCATTCACATTTATTTGCAATTTTTTATAGGAATAGGCAATTTTTTTCTCCTGAAGTTCCATTCTTTGAGTTGGGGAATCCTTTGGTAAAATTTGCTGGTATGGGAGAAAAGTGAGAATATAATCAGAATTATCCCAGCAAAATCAGTCAGCATAATACGAATTACCCGATATACTCTTACACTTTCTTTCACATTCATACAATTTGTTTTATTTTTATTTCTTTCTCTTCCTTTTCCTTCCTTCTTTTTCTTTCTTTCTCCCTAGTCTTCCCAACTGACTGCCCTCCTTTACTCATTCACTGTATACCACAATGGTATAAAGAGAGAAAGAGAATTCCCATGTATATGTATGAATTTTCCCTCTAAGCTTAACTGCTGTGTTGGGCAAAACTAAGGAATGACACCTTCTTTGCAAGTTGTATCCAACTTGTGAGCTAGGCTATATACCTACAAGTGAAGACTTGATGTTCAAGAGAAGCAAGGAGTTAGTTCATTAGTGTTAGATATGTCCAGAAGACGATCTAGGCAGACTATTCATCCCAGCATTTAGATTATTATGTGCAAAGATTTTTCAATTTATTTTATTTTGCATAAAGATATCTTTGCGGGATGTGCGTATACTGTACACCAGTGTTTGTCAACTTTAGGATGGGTGGATTTCAACTCTCAGAATTATCCAGGCAGCAAATACCTGAGGAATTCTGGGAGTTGAAGTCCAAACATCTTAAATTGGTACGCTTGAAAAGCACTGTTGTACTCTGTAAAGTCATCCTGATTGAAGTGCCATACATGTTCAATATCTGTTCACTTAATCAAAGTGATTTCCTATATGATTATTAGATGCATTCACCAAGTTTTTGCCAACAACTACAGAGAAACAATGTTTGAATAGTCTTCTAAAGATCAGAATAGAGCCTTGGGGGGAAGCAGAAGCAAAGAAATAAATATTTTCTTCTGTTGTTATCAGGACTTGTTTAGATTTTAGATTTCATGGGAATATCATTTTTTGCTATACATTTAAAATTAAGTATTTTGTACATGTATTTATGAACAGTAGATACTCCTTTGATCTGAATAAACACATATGATATTCTCTGTGCAGCTATTCTCCTTTCAACTTACTTGATGCAACTCAAAGCAAAAATACTTCTGAGTCAATATGCGCAAGATTAGACTGCATGCTTCCATCTGCAAATTATGGAAGCTCTTCAAATTCCTCATGTACTTCATCCAACTTGGATTTTGAAGCTGCAATTCTGTTATAAAAGTTGCATACTCCTCTAAGTTCTGCAAATTGTACAATCTCTCCAATACAGCCAAGAAGTTTCTGTACAGTACTACATGATGAGGCCCATAATATCTAGAAAGGTTCGATTTATTGATTTGTGTATGTGCCCCTTTTGCCTTTCCACTGCTTTTAGCAGACTCCTATAGCATTGCCAATAATTTATTCAAAGCAGTTGCATAGGGAGGCACAAGATCACCTGCAGATGTATATCCTCTGTTTGTTTGAATGGAAAAGAGAGCCATAAACTGAAAAACAGGGAATCCCATTTTTCACTGGGAAGACCTTCCCCACATGGATATGGGATATGTCATACGCAGGTCCCTATTCCATATGTTTCCACTGAAAGGAAATATTATTTGTTTGCTTTATTTAATAGATTTTATATGGCCACCCAACTCACATGGATGCCGTATAAAATTTATGGTAATGCCACGTGTTAGGAATAAAATGCCTACGCAGAGAAAACTCCTGGTTATATATTCAGTTGCAGAACCTCTTTTATAACAAACACAGACACACAAATCTACAAAATAGTTCTATTAGACTTTTTTTTTTTAGGATAGCTGTGCCGTTTTGTCCTTCAAGTCTACATGCCGATCATTAAAATCATTTGAGTGTGTCCCTCGTCTTTTACCTCAAACCTAATTCAAGTTTACAGTTTTTAAAATGTGGTAGCAGTATAAGTTCCGTCCTTCTGTATCAATGTTTTAAGTTGCTCTTTTATAAATGTTCCTTTGTTTGTTTTTGTCCTTGCTCTCTCTCTCTCTCTCTCTTTTTGTTTTAGCAACTTGTGATCGCAGAGTGCTGAAATAAGTCTTCAATCCCACTCTTAAGCCTTTCCATACTCATGCTTCTCTCTGAAATGTTTTTGGTTTGGGTTTTTTGATTGTTGTCTTGCTGTGAACTTTGCAGATTTCTTTCTGAGTGCCACCGTGCTTCTGCTGCATCAGCATTGTCACCGTGATGGTATTTTTTTTTCTTTCTGTCTGTTTTCTTCCCACAGGAGCTTAACAAGTAATCTTCCCAATGTGAATCTACCAAATGTGAATCTCCCTAAAGTTCCAAACCTACCAGTTAACATCCCACTAGGCATTCCTCAAATGCCTGCCTTTTCTGCACCGTCATGGATGGCTGCTATCTATGATGCCGAGTGTGTATTCAGTTCAATAGATCTCATTTCAAACAAAAGTTTTTTAAAAAACGCAATCTTGGCATGAATATGAATTGTGTGTTTCGAGTCAACAGATCTGAAAAGGGAACCATTGCAGAAGAGCAATGGGGATGTCTATCCCATACTACCCAAGAGGCGGGCAGCAGGCATTGATATTGGGCATTTTGTTTCATTCATTTATTTATTATTATTTGACAAAATTGAACACATTGAAGTTTTTTTTTTAATTTCATTTCACACCGAAATCGATAGTCTTCTGGTTAAAATTGGTCTTTCCATGATCCCAAGGTTGCATATACTTCTAAATCTTTAGCCAAGAGTTATTTATCAGGGTTTTTTTTGTTTGTTTAGTTCCTAATTTTCTGAATGATTGTCCAGAATAATAAAAACAATCCTCTCGTTTTTGGAAGGGAGGCATCTAAAAAATATATATTACCCCAACTATTCTTGTTTGGTTAATTTTCCAAAGTAATCTTTTCCCAAGTAATCAGTCACATCAGTCCTATAGCTACATGGGAAACAAAATGACC